TGTTTTCACTGATGGGTTTTCTTCATAGGGAGGAATATTTCGGGGATTGATTTGATACTAACCAACGCAGCTGTTATAAAAATAGATACCTACACACATTCCATCTGTCAATCAAAAGCACAATATAGTCGTACAATGCAAACATTTGTTTGAAAAATTCTATAACCCGTAAACGAAACGAAGAAAAGAAACGTGCACTGAAGATTCTGCTTCAAAAATAGTCGGAATATAAAGGTCTTCTGCGATTTCTCTTGGGTCTACTAGCATTTTCTCAAAGGCATAATCATTTCTAGATTTTTCAAGAAATTCACTGGAGCATCTTGCTACAATGGCCACTACGAGCGCATAATTTCCAATTTGTTAGGCGAGTCCTTCTGCTTCAACTTTGGAAACGTTGCCAACACTTCCAGTCAACTTGCTGTTTTCACCAACGGACCAATCCTACTCGCCCATCTTATGTCGCTCAGAAGTTTGAGCGTTATGGAATAGCAAATGGTGCAGGAACACTTCCCAACGTTGATAAGGAGAAAAAAACGTACAGATACTCAACTGGCGATCGCCCTTCGTGCATTGGCTTCGCGTAGTAGAGTCGGTCCTGCCTTGATCCATCGGTAAATTGATGATGATGAATCTAAGACATTGCATCTTTAATAGATTTCATGTTTCGTCACTACAACCCATGCCTGTGCTTAACCAATGTTTATAAATCACGACGCAACGGCCTGATGATGGACTGGATCCGAAATCGATTGCCTAAAAGGAAGAAATGAATATCAGCCTGTTTTATCTGAGTATAACTTACTCCATACTTATCTCTCTAAACATTTTTTTTTTATTTCTGTAAGATACAAATTTGCCGCCCCCTAAAATCTGCCGCCCTAGGCTCTAGCCTACTCAGCCTGCTGGCAAATCCGCCACCAAGCATACTAATTCAAAATTCACTAGAAGTTGAAAAGAAATTAACATTCCTTCAAAGATATACGCCCAAGAACAGTTGTCTCAAATTAATACCCATATCCAATTTGAGTCTAATTTTGCGGAGACTTAAAAAATCAATAAGAACTTTGATATAAAGAACTTCTATTTACCAATCAGGAACTTATACGCACTAGTGCCATATACGTGTCAATTGGCACAGTTTGTCGTTAAACTGCCTGTACCGTCCTGAATATTTTTCTTGCAGATAGGGTACTAATAACAAGGACAGATTCAACTAAAATTGAAGCTTCAAATATTTTCGGTTGTAGGTACATTATCACATCGTGTTTGAAATATCTGAGTATGTACCTAAACAGGGATGTAATCACAAATTGCCCTTAGTTTCCAGTATGGAATCCATTGGTGAAGATGAAAAAGACAGTTTTTAATATTAACTTTTCGTATTATACCAATACTGAAAACGTCCACTTCCAATTTGTGAGCACCCTGTAAGTGTTTTGAGCCAACGAGGCATAAATCCCATTTAATCAAATCCTGAACATTATTGGTCTGTCCCGCTTGCGATTTAAAAGGCAAATTAATTCTGTGAAAGTAAAAAAAAATTTCTGAAGAAAGGCCACATAAATCAAAAAAATTCGTTAAGCCGCTTGTGAGCAAGAGGCGAAGAATGCGTTTGCAAATTTTTGTTTTCGATTTTAATATCCCTTGTAGACACTACAAGCATGAAATAAATTTTAATTTTTGATCGAATGACACTACCAAGTCTGCAAGTGGCGTAGTTCCGGAGCTTTTGTGACTCAGATAGACAGGCAGGCAGACAGACAGACAGACAGACATTTAAGGAGTGCATAAGTGCACTTTTTATTTTTTGAAAGTGAAAGTGCACTAAAAATTGTTTGGTTTAGGAATATGGTGATGGCAAATTAAATGAACCTAGGTATAATTTTAATTTGGCATATAATTAGATAAAAAATTGATTAGAATTGAGTTTAGCTGCAACGGCTTCGTAGAATAGGCAACTCTTATGTATAGTACACAAAGCTGGGCAGTATTCGATTTTGTAAATACTTTTTAGTATTCAAATCCTTTAAAGTATTCATATACTTTGTAATTAAATACTTTTATGGAAGCAGTATTTGTATTTGTAACTCAAATACTTTCACAAATATTTAGTATTAGAATACTTCGCAAAGTATTTGGATACTTCGTAAAATATTCGAATACTTCGCATAGTATTTGAATACTTAACCTTCCTTTTTTACCAAATGTCGACTACACAGAATTTCTTGGGAAAACACTTTTTCTTATTCATTTTGGTGCGTAGAATCCAAAACAATTCGTACTTTTTCGTTTAGAATTCTCAATCTTCTCTCACCGGCATTGTAGCTCAGTGGTATAGAGCGTTGGGGTATAAATCCGGAGGTCGGGTGTTCGAACCTGGTTTGAGGTGAATTTTTCATCTGTGGCAGAGATGGGAATTTCCTTAGATCAGTTTCGAGCGTTCTGCCGGCTACTCCGAATAAGGTTTTCCTGCAGTTTTCCTAATTCGTAAGGTAAATACCGGAGTAGTATAGAATAACTTAAGACCTTCTGCAGGGGCACCTCTAAAAAGCATTATGCGAGTTACTCTGTAATTGGGCGTAATCCTGTTGAGGGCCTAGAACAAAAGAGAAATAATAAATAAATAAAAATAAAATAAAAATCTTAAGTTATGGACTAGAGACCAATTTCGAAAGAAAATTTAAAAGGGCTGTAACTTTTGATGTAGTAGCCCAATCTTAGAACTGTTTGAAATTATGGATTCTACAGGCCACATTCTATAAGAAATTTTTTTTTCGGGTCTCAAAAAAGGCAGTGTATAACCTTCCTTTTTTTTTTACCAAAAATTGACTACACCAAAATTTCTCGGGAAAACACTTTTGCTTATTAATTTTGGTGCGTAGAATCCAAAACAATTCGTACTTTTTCGATTAGACTTCTCAATCAAAAGTTATGGACTGAGAAACCAATTTCGAAAGAAAATTCAAAGGGCTGTAACTTTTGAACTAGAGTCCAATCTTGGAACTGTTTCAAATTTAGGATTCTACAGGCCACATTCTATAAGAAAATTTTTTTCCGGGTCAATCTGAGACAATTTTTTTTTCGGGCCTCAAAAAAAGGCAGTGTATAAACCTTCCTTTTTTACCAAAAATCGACTACACCAAAATTTCTCGGGAAAACACTTTTTCTTATTAATTTTGGTGCGTAGAATCCAAAACAATTAGTACTTTTTCGATTAGACCTCTCAATAAAAAGTTATGGACAAAAAAACAAATTTCGAAAAAAATACTTTGAAAAGTATTCGAATACTTTTTATAGTATTCGAATACCTTTGATAGTATTAGAATACTTTTGAAAGTATTCGAATACATTCTAAAGTATTTGAATACTTATTTTTTAAAGTATTTGAATACTTTTCAATGTATCTGTATCTAGTATTCGCTTGTGCTGGATGTAAAAGTATTAAAATACCTTTGATTTGTGTAAAGTACTTACAATTTAGTATTCAAATACTTTTTGAAAGTATTCTGCCCAGCTCTGATAGTACATACCTACCCCTAGTACTTATACACTCACATTATCAGAAATCTTCATCTACAATCAATGAAAATTCCTCGGAAAATTCTGTTTAAAGATCCCAGAGAGTAAGTAAATCTAAATTACCTGAATTTGTGCGTAGTTTTCTTTCGCTTACGGTTAAAGTATAACCAGTACCTACACAATAGTCAAACAACCAATAAGTAAAATAAAAGTACTAAAAGAATTGTTGGTAGGTACTAGATTTCCAGTAGGTACTTAAATCCGGCCCACAGAAAACCAAAGTCTACCCCAAAGAATTTTGCCGAATACGTCTTGATTAATTACTCGTAGTTGTTTAAAAGATGCAAGGCTTTTACTGCGGACGCCTATCTTAACATTAATTATTTTTTTTAAACATGCTACTGTTTTTGAAATTCCTCTTCGGATAAGGAAACAAAAAATCAAATATTTCGAGTTTTTAAACATGAAATAAATACATTTTTAAAAGAAAGATAGAAAATGGATTCATAGATAATTCTATACCTACTATAAGCTGTGCCAAAAATTTAAGCTAAATCGGCAAGTGTATGGCTAACTGAAAATTTTAAATCCAATTTTTTTTTACTGTAAATCAGTGGACAAATTCAGGGAGTATTATATTCGGTATAATATCCGCTACTTTATAAAAAAAATTGAAAAGCAAATAGACAGGACCCTTATAGGCACATAATGGGTCAGTATCCCAGCTTTTTTCCCGACACTTCTACTATACTGCTGCATTGGAATTTAATGAGATATACCGGAACATTACATAAGGAAACAACAGGGTATAGTTATACAGACTGGAGCGACAGAGCCACATATCGTAATTACTGAAGGCAGACGCATATTCAATTATATATAGGCATAAACGAAGTGAAAATTAAAAAAAAACAATCCGTTTGATACTACCATCTATAAATGGGATAGCGATGATAAAGGTTGCCACACACATCTCTGAGATATCCATTATAGGTACATACAAATGAACGTTGCAGTAATAGGTGCCTAGTAATTCGCTAAGGGTTAGTTTAGGATGTTCAATTTTCTTAGGTATAATACGAGGTTGAATCGATTTTGAATAGTAGGTACAGAGTGTGGCATAATTAAATTCCTTAATTAGATTGCCTAATTTATTTGTTCTTTTTTTTTACTGTACGCCAGATATCTCGAAGAAAATTGATTACAGAATCTGCAAATGAATACAGTCAGGTAGCTCTTCTAATTATACGGCTAGAGATGTACTGATAAACACCTGCTATTATCTCATTAGAATATGGTACCTCCACAGGTAGACCGAAGGCGGTCTCTTTTAAGAGGCGGTTTGAAAGGCGCGTTCATGGGCCATTGTGAGGGTGTAACCAATGAAATACGGCGGCGAAAACAAGAATTTCGCAGGGGTCTCTACAAGCCCCAGTTTAACTCTGTTTATCGACTCTGTTGGATGTTTGTAGTGACTTGAAACTAATTCTAGCAGCTGTTGATTGGTGTGCGACATTTTAGTGACAGTGTGCGCCGAAAATAAGACATGCCAAGACCTTCTCGTGAAACTTATGGCGATCAGAAACCTCCTTACTCTTATATATCATTAACGGCAATGGCAATTTGGAGTTCACCCGAAAAAATGCTACCTTTGTCGGAAATTTACCGGTTCATTACCGATAATTTTCCGTACTATCGCCGTAATACGCAACGATGGCAAAATTCGCTACGACATAACTTGTCCTTTAACGATTGTTTCATTAAGATACCGCGTCGACCCGATCGCCCAGGAAAGGGTGCTTATTGGGCTTTACATCCGGCAGCTTTCGATATGTTTGAAAATGGCAGTCTTTTACGGCGCCGGAAACGGTTTAAGTTAATGAAGAGTGATAAAGAACTGTTAGATAACGAATTAGCCGCTTTAGCGAATATAAATAGGTTCTTCTTTGCGCCGGCGGAAACTCAATCTGAAGGTATTCCCTCAAACGCGCAAGTTTCAAGAGTACCATCACCTTCGTTAAATACAAGTGAACCTGTGTTAACAAACATTAGGCCGAAGAGGTCATTTACCATCGAAAGCTTGATATCGCCAGATAAACCATCGGAAGAAGACCCCAAGCAGCAACCATTTTCGTCGACAACCACACACATGCAATGGACGTTCCCACCATACTGCGAAATGGGCTTAAAACCACCGATTTTGTTCCCCAACAATTCCTATTACCATCAACAGTACCATCTACCACCGCCCGCAGATGAACTTCTTCGAGTGCCTCGATTTATCTTACCTTCCATGTGATCCCATTCATATGATTCATATGATCAATTCGTAAGTCTGATTATAATTTATGAGTAGGGTAGGTATGCTAGTGATACATCTGTGCTGATGCAACTTTGTGCCACTTAGATTTAACCTTAGCTTCTTTTCTTCTTGTATACCTAATCAATATTGCACCCCAAGATCTTGGGAAGCGTCGGCACACATCCAGTATGCTCAGTATGTGCAATAAAATTGTCTAAACAATATTATTATCTGCAATTTTGTGAACCCTAACTTTAATTCTTTAATATTTGATACAGTATCGTTTGCTATTACCGAAAGTAATTATAGGTGTACGTAAAGGTCAAAACGTTTAAAGGCCATTAATTATTTTTTGTCGTGTAAAGTCATAACGACCTGAAAAGTCGATTACAAATTATATCACTGTATCCTATTAATTTTCATTAATTTCAATTACCATAAAATTTATATCGTGCGGTAGTAGGTAGAATAATTAAGTACTTAAGTAGATGCAGCTTAAGTATGACTTTTTGTATTTTAACGTTTATTAGACGACTTTTTACCTACTTTGCACGTGATTCGAAGACGATATATTACCTATTTTAATTGTGTTATAATTGATTGTTTCATGTTTCATTTTTGAAACAAGCTTATGGAGCCCTAGGGGATGTACTTGTGGTGTGTATGTTTTTCAAGCTTTTACAGGTCAGTGAGCAATCCTGAGTAAATAAATTAATATCTACAGTTAATTAAAATAATTAAAAATCATGAAAGATTGGATAGACCCAGGGTTCCACCTTTACTGTAGGTACACGAAAACCAATAAGAACATATTAAAAAAACATTACGGGGGAATTTGTACTAAAATAATAGTTGGGCCCACTTGATTATGCAAGTAAAATTTTTTAATAATTAAATGTCTTTCTAAACTTATTGGCGTCACCGGTAGGCGGTCGCGTCAAAACAGCGGAGGACTATAGACCAGTCAATACAATATAGATATGCTAACCCACTTTGAGATCAAAGAAAATATACAATACAGCTAACCCACTGTTGATTCAGTCAGATGAATTTTTCTGAGTAGTTTGGTCGGGGGCCCACCTGACGCCTAATTTTTAATATACGTATAAGTAAGCCCCGGACGCCACTGATTTGTTAATTAATATCGACTTCACATTGTGCGTATACCTAGAGCTGTACAGATACCTTTAGAAAAGGACTTTTTTTTAAACCCTGAAGTCTGAAAAAGGATTTTTGAGTAAAATCGGAATTAAAAATATTTTACAAAATATGTAGCCAAAACGTCCTGGCCTAGCTACTTCTAACTCCTTTTTTGAAAACAGGTACTATCTAGAAACAATCTTTAAATCCAAAGCCTAAGGCTATATGAAAGAGCTGAAACCTGAAAATTCAAAAACTTTCGAAACCTTTCGGGTTCGAGCCTTTGCACGACTTTAAGCGCTTAAAATTATGTTCTGAACGTATTCTCGCGGATGTAATTAACAAATTAAAAATGGAAGCCATGGCTGATTTTCAAAAACATTACACACAAGGACGGAGCACATATCAAAAAATTTTAGTTAGTATTTTTTCCTTGCTTTTTCGGGATCAAAGACAGCGAGCGATTTAGACAAAGGATAGATTAGATATTTTTCCAAACTATTCGCTTTAAAACATTATAAAAGTACAGCCAGAACCGTCCTATATTTTGAAACCGTCAGTCATATAAAATCATACGTGACTAACAAGGCTAGTAAGTGAGTAGTATTTTAATATAGCAGTCTCACTATAGTTACCCTCTTCCGGTTATATACTAGAAATGCGGGTGCTAGGAGAGGAGTTCCTCCTCTAAATCGTTTAACTGAACCCATTTTATTCCCGTCCTTACGCCCGAGAGCTTGAGCTCTTGGGACTCAGCCCTTTTTTTAAAATACTGCCCAAGGAAAGAATTTTCGATTTTTTTTAAAAATCACATTTTTTTAGGGTAATTTAGACGAATTAATTTTTTTTTGTCTGGAAGAAGTTCAACAAGGAAGATCAATATTTTTGTTAAGAAATATTTAAGAGTCAAGAAAGTGACATAACGGCTTTGTATGTAAACTGATAAACACGCATATTCGTAAGGGTTGTATGTCCTAGGTGGTAGCACAGATGTACCTTCTTTACGTATACCTATCTGTGGTGCTAGCGAGATTCATAAATATGTTCTTTTAGTGGGAGTCGTCACTACTCTTTTATCGCAACAGTAAAAGCCATTAGATGCGTTTGTTCACCAATTCATCCCTCTGCATTTGTTTTATTAGCGTTATGCATGCGAGATTCATATTTAAACACTCATTTAACATACAGTCGTCTTTCTGTTAAGCTGTAAATCATTGTTGCGCCTCACTACGTCAGTCCATTTTTAAATAGCAAACTAATGAGAATTAGCTCTGAAAGTTTATAAGCACAAGGGTTATTCAATCATGCAGTTTTAGGTAAATTGTCTGTTTATAACACCCTCTGTTGTACCAGAAACATGCACTAAGTTTAGTTGTATAAAAAAAATTGGAAAATGCCATTTAGTGAGTGCCGACAGAAGTGGACTCTTCTTTCTCTCTCACGCTTCTTCCCTCCCTTATGTATTATAGCAACCAAAACGCGCGCGCTTGGGTCCGAACCCGCGACAGTGACCATCCGAAAGTGGCTAATGAGACTGTCCTGTTAATCATCCCTTATACTGTTATAAATGCGACAAATACATATAGGTAATGAAAAATCTTAAACTCATTTTATCACTTTGATGTTACTAAAAAAATGTGACTTTGGTCAATTCCCATTGAAATTCGCTTGACGTGACGCGTAGTCGATGAGATGATTTTACTCCCGTGCAAAAACATACGGTGCATACCTAGCGATAAGAAGTAGTGACCTGAAAAGCTTTAAGTAGTACGTACGTACTCTGGATTTTTTGCAATGAGAATTTCCTTACGATGGTAACATCCCTTATGTGTATCCTGAAATGAAATCGATTTTGAGCATAATTTTTGATTGCGTATGTCCCCATTTGAATTTAGGAAATAGTTTTTAACAATAGGATCATGGCTAACGTAATCACAATTTTTGGCATTTATTTCCAAAACTGTCTCGTTACCACATGACAACCGGAACTTTTGCAGCATCACCCGTACCATGATTTACCTGTACCTATTCAAACCGTCTGAGACGGCAGATCTGCTATCAGGGAAAGCTCCAGTTTTTTGATGGGATCCTTTTTGTTTACAAGTTTACAAACGGGTCATATTCGATAGGAACCTACATTCTTGTAATGCTAGATACTCTCGCTTGTATGGATAATTGCTTTTGTAAGGCAGGAAAATCAAAATGAAATAAAAGGCGCTTCTGTTTCTCTTCTGCAAATATAAATGACAAAAGCGTTATTTGCTAGGTCTGGAAAAAAATACCGGTAGGCACAAGATCTTGTCCTATTCTCTTTCAAATGAATCGCCTATCGTAGAAGTCTGTTGTACTAGTCAGTTTTTCGTAAGTGCCTATGTATCAAATTTCATTTAAATGCTTTCCTAAATCAGAAAGTTGGTATTGCGCATGCGCAAAACAAATTTGGTTACTTTTACTTATATTCGTAGTGTTTACATATAAAGTATCGTATATATCTTCGTAAATAAAAAAGTTAGTATTGTACATGCGTTAAACTAAATTTTTTACACTGCGCATGTGCAAAACCAAAAATACCAGTACGCACGACGCACGGCATCTTTGCACCAAGCCCTTTTAAATGAGCGTCATATACTCATATCGCCCAAATCGGTTCAGTCGTGTGGAAATAGTATGTATGACGGACGGACTGACGAACGACCAAGTGCAGTCGGATTTTTCACTTTGAAAGAAATACGCTAAAAACGCACGTTTTTGACCACTTTATTATTGATTTTTCAATACATTTTTTATTGTGCATTTCTAAGGATAGTTTTGCTAACTGCTTCAAGTTGAAGTTTCGCCCACGGTTTCATTCGTAGTAAAACGGCATATCCTGAGCCAGTTTTTGAGGTTTTCGAACAGACAAATGCCGCAGCGATAGGTCTGGCGTAATTGTAATCCACTGCTGCAGCATCAAAACAGCACAATTCTATTGCAATTGGACAAAATCCGTGTAGCTACACAGTTTGAACATTCGGTACCTTTTGGTAAAATAGAGATCATGGTACTCCCACTTGTATTCTGAAATCACGTATCCCTCTCGTTATTGAGGATCATGCATGTGCTTGTGTGACACAATTCGAAAATATATTTCACACAATTCTGTTCTTTTAAAAAAAATCAACTTTGTTATCTATATCTACGTTTTGACGCAACCTGTATATTTTCTCTTTAGTGCAAAAAAATGCACAAGAAAAAATATCAATTTGTTCCATATTTTAGCCGCTGACTGTATAAGAATGCCGTGCCAGTAAAACAAGTACTTACATATTTCTTAATTACCTTCCACTTCTAGAATTTGTGCTCCTGATACAATTAAATATTCTCTATTAGTGATTTTATGCTCTCTCAAATGATTTTACATGGTAATAAATAAGAAATATTTTAGCATTACATATGAAGCACATTCTCGATCGTTCATCTGTGCCCCTAATGACACGATTTTCTATGCTAAACGGAGATTACAACGCCAGCGTCTCAACTCGCTTGCTACTTTAGCGTTAAGTTTTAAGAATAGCGTCGATATTAGGAGAGAAGGACATATTAAGTGTGGATCACTTTTTCGGTTGTTCACCTTTGTTCCTGATGAGACGAGTTTCTAATACCATTGCTAAACCAGTGCCTTGGCGTTAACTTTTGAGGAAGGGGTCTATATTAGGAGGCTTATCAGTAAAACAATTTGTGCTCCTAATACAATTAAATATTTCTTTTTAGTGACCTCCTACTCTCTAAAACGAGATTAGATAAGGATTAAAAAGGAACTATTTTAGCATATTATCAAAGTTCTCGACTTTTTATACCTATGCCCTCCTGATGAACAGATTTTTTGATACTTTTGCTAAACGAAGACTACAGAAATTAGCGTTTCGACGTAGTTAGTATCTTGCCGTGATCCTGATACAGTTAAATCCCTCATACTCTCTAAAATGATATTGGACAGTAATCAATAAGAAGTTATTTCAGAATTGTCCCTTCCATGCTCCTGATATAATTAAATTAATATGCTTTATTAAAGACTTCATGCTCTCAAATTCGATGGCAATCCATAGAAATTATTGTGGCATTAACAATGGGCCACGTTCGCTGTTGTTTATCTGTGCTCCTGATGAAATGATTTCCTGATACTGTTGTAAAACAAAGAATACAAGCCGACAGTGT